GAACATGTTATAAAATAAGATAAACATGTTACATAATAAAATGAACATGTTATAGAATAACATGAACATGTTACATAATAAAATGAACATGTTATAGAATAAGATGAACATCCTACATAATAAAATGAACATGTTATAGAATAAGATGAACATGTTAATACACAATAAGGTGAACATATTATAAAATAAAAAATTAGTTGTGTTCAAAAACCTATCAAATGTGGTCTCTATTTATAGAGAATGAAAAATTATGAATTTTGGTATTTTTATTTTATTTTTTTAATATAAATAGTTAATGATATTTTAATTTATGTAATATGTCTCATTTTTCAATTAAAAAAAGAAAATTAGGGATGTGAACTACACTCTCTTAATTTCTCTAATTTTGGGGAGTGAGGGGCGCGTGTAAATCTGTCTTGGCACACCTAGCTAGGTGTGCCAAGGCACATGGTAGTGCTACTGATGCGTATGTACTAGCCATCTTGTGGGGGAAAAAGTACGACGTGAGTGGGTCCCACGTCCACTGTTGGGTCCACCATATGCGGACTTGTTGACTTTTGTACTTTCCAGTACGAAATGGCTGTAAACCACTTTTGCGGATTCACACGGCTTTAGCTGTCACTCTTGTTGGATTTATTATAATATAAAGCATATAATAATCAGTGGCTAAACAAGGAGCCCGTTTTAGGAAGGGCCCAATTTGTCTTTAAAAAAAAATTTCGCGACAAAACCAAACAAACACACAAACTATTTAAATTATCATTCAAATAACATTATACAAAATAAAAATACAATCTAGCCCCTTCGGCCATCCCGCAGTGCACCACCCCCACTCCGGCATCGAAAGGACGCTCAAAAGGCGTTCTTCCAATTCTAGCAAAATCCCCCACCTCTAATTCAAAAATTATTTTTTTTTTTTTCGAAGGGCCGACGTCTCTCCAATCTTATACGTGGTTTCGCTCTTGATAATAATGTATGATGTAATAAACTAGTTATTTCATATTGTTTTTTTAACGTATATAATAATATTGAATTAATATGTGTTTGTACTTTAACACAAAGTTAAAAAAAAAAAAGTATGATATTTAATTAAAATATATAATTATTTATTAATTAATCTACAGTTATGATAATATAGAAATAAACATTTTTATTTTCCCTTCTGAGTCAATTATGATCATATATACAGTGTTTTTTCATTTTTTTTTTTAAATATTGATTGATTTAATATTCGTTATTAACCGTTTTGACGATTAAGGGATGTCTCACCAAAATTTATGATTATTTTTTTTTTATGTAAATATATACAGCGAGGAACTTTGTTTAGGTGACCCAATTAATAATATTATTGAACTAGTTATTTACAAAGTTAATATGATATAAAAATTATATATGTGTTGTATATGATATGGATGAAAACTAAGGAAAATCGTTCTCTATAAAACATAAGTTTTAAGACTTTCAGGAGTTAATTAATTAAAACA